ATATCTTATTATTTCTTCAAATAAAAGTTTACGTTCTTTTTTGGTGAATTTGTAGCACTAGATATAAACATGCAACCAGAGTGATTCGTCATGCAGTAATGGATGACGAATGAGTAGTGACTTTAATTCTAATTATGTAACCAATAGTTACAAAAGGCGGGCAGAGTACTGCGAGAGGAGGATTTCTTTAATAACAAAGAAAAGAGTACTGAGCTACTAAGTAACATCTGTCCTTCTATACTGCAGCGAATGTTGGACGGTCTCCTCAAAGATGAAGAAGAGACTCGAGGCAACGGAGATGTGGTTCTACAGAAGGATGCTAAGGATATCATGGAGCGAACATGTGAGCAACGATGAGGTCTTGGAGAGTATGAAAACAAGGAGGAAGCTTATACTTAACATAAGGAAGCGCTAGATGAAATTTCTGGGACACGTGATGAGAAAGGAGGGCCTGGAGAATCTGATACTCACAGGTTGAATAGAGGGGAAAAGAGACAAAGGAAAGCAACGCATGCCGTACCTAGTGGGTTTAAGCAAGTGAATGACAGAACGTGGTCTGGGGGAGTTGGCAGAGGTACGAAACTTATTGAGAGCTACAAGGGATAGGAGAAAGTGGAGAGCCATGACCGCCTGTACCACACTAAGTTAAACATCATAAATATATGTGTGGCATAATAGGTTGTGGAAGCTTAAGAGAGTGAAAATGTTGATCTTTCCAAACATTCAACTTCTCCACAAAGAAAAATGAAAGAAAAAGCAAAAATTAGATAAAGCGTAAATCTCAAATCTTTATTTCATAAGTTGTTAAGGTGTTTTACAAAAAAAAAAAAAAAGTTTTTTGTCCAGTTTTCATACGACAGCAATTAGAAAGGATGATTTCTTAATGACATCTACTCGGACTGTTACATCCAGTTGCAACTCAGGCAATCACAGGAACTGACTATTTGATACGTTGTCATTTTATTTATATTCGTTATAGTAGATACAAAATGCGCACGAATATTTAACAGAAACATACTCGGCTCAATACTAAAGTATGTTACTTAAAGAGTATAAAATTACTAATAACTCGATAATTATACATGATTAAAATCAGAAACTTTACAGATTAATAATTTAATATATGTTTTAAGAGATCGTGACAGCTATTAGGGAGATGTGATTAAATATACTTTAACGTTTTAAAAAAAATTATTCAGTATTATTGTTTCGGCAATAAGCATTATAAAATACCACTAATAAATGTGGAAAAAAGAATTTTCAACAATATACGCATTTTTTACGTATTTATCGTTATTTTTTAACTTTTATCAAAAACGACATTCTTGTACATGTGGTTATGGATAATATACATTAATTACTAATTTTTTTTTTTAATTAATAACTATTTGTGCTCAGTTTTTGACATTAATAGCCATCTGCTGATGTGTTAAAATTTTGGAATAATGCAATAATAAAAATTCAAATTTCATCTCTCTGATAAATGTCGTGATCTGTAAACATAATGCAGTTTTTAATTTTCTGCATGAATTATAAGTTAATTTTATTTTATTTTAAATCGACATCCACTCAGGATATCGAATCTTATTAATAATTTCCAATAAAAAGACGTTTTTACTTAACCACTTAATAAAATATGTTCTAATAACGAGTCCGTTGTGTGTTTAACGTGTTTATTTTATGAAATCTTAATTTATACACATTTATAAAGGTTTTCTTCATAAACACTAGAATGTTAACAAGAGAATTTAGATCAGTTCAACCCAAGCTGGATGCTTAATACTGGTGGCCTTGTGTCAGACTAAACTAAGTAAATAAATGGCTTAGTCTGCTTAGTAGTTGAAAATATGTATTTCCCATCGGAACAGCTATCGGTAATCGAAATCAAATGTAGGACATGGACATGTTGATTTTCAATGTATTAGCGCAATGATATCTTTCTATTATGTGTTGGTAGCATAAAGGTTATCGGTACAAAAAGAAAATGCCGAGTTCTGACTATATTCTGACGGTATCTGTTTCGTCCATTTTGCACTAAGGGCCTTTAGAAAAGGTATGAATCTATCTTCCACCAATTAAGGTTAAATAGGCGGTCAGATTTAGGAAGGTAATTAGTCTAGGGGAGAAAAAGGCAACTATAAATTCAAAATCAGTCTGAAAAGAGATGAAATGATCTTCTATTTGTGATTTAGTTTTATGTAAGTCCACGATATAAAAGCACCTTGGGGAGAACTTACTAGCAATGATTTGCAAGACAGGCATAACAAATTTTTTGTGGCAAATTCTTTCTAGCAAATTCTTTCTGGCAGGTTTGCCTGGTGCAAGGCCAACATATAATATCAACCAGAGTACAGATTACTACCAACGGCTTGCAAACAAGATGATAATCAATTCTCTTTGGCAGCTTCGACTTCGGTTTGAGGCAATCGGATGTCTAGCCACAATGATGAGCTGTGATAGAGCGAAACAGTCTGTGGATGACAACATATATATATATATATATATATATATATATATATATATATATATATATATATATATATGAGTATAGAATTGGTGTATATGAAATAAACTAAAATAACCAAAAATACTATTCTTAAAAGAGTGCTCAATACAGAGTAGAGCAAATATATTTCATTCGAAAATTATAACATAAATATGTTATAAAACATAACCAATTGAAACAAAATGGCTATTTTTGTAGTGATTTTATAACATATTTGTGTTATAATCTTCGAATTAATTTTATATATATATATATATATATATATATAAGCACAATATATTTATATAATTAATACAAATATAAAATTTGTCAGCTGATTGATGTTATTTTCAGACTCTCGGCTCTTACGTAGACGGGTACTCCAGCAATCACTCCATCCATTCGTCAGCAGATAGCTAGATAGAGAGAGGTTTATATCTTATTAAAAAAAAAAAGAATAGCCAGTTTAGTTTATTTTTCATTACTGGTTTGGCTTTTGATGAGGAATAAAATAGACCAAATTCATCAATAGGCTCATCACGGATGTGAGTAAGAAAAAGGAAGTAAAGAAAATTAAGTGTATTTTAAGCAGCAGACATATCTACAATATTCTGCCAATAAAGGGTGTTCCAATAACTTGGACCGATTTTAAATGTGAATTAAGTTTAAACGTTTAATGATTTTAGTACTTCAAACGTTATTTTTAGCTAATAGCTGTATTTGTGTAGTTATTTTTTTTTTTTTACCGTATTAATTTTCTCTATCAGCCAGTAAAGTCCGATAAATGGAGTGGGACTCATATTCAGGTATTTCGAGGAATCACATAAATTCACTTTTGCCAACAGTCTAAAAATGAGATTAAGGCTCACTACAAATACAGAAAATTAAACATTAAAAGAACATAAAGAAAATTTATTCCTCTAAAAATTGATTTCTTTAATTTGCTTGAAAAGGTCACGAGACCGGAAATCTGTGTAGCAAAAATATGAAGAAAATATAACATAAACACTAAAACAAATCCACATTATAACCGAAAACGTTTGCTGTTTCTCTCTTTATATATATATATATATATATATATATATATATATATATATATATATATATATATATATATATATATATATATATATATATATATATATATATATATATATATATATATATATATATATATATATATATATATATATATATATATACTGTAATACCCACGTATTGTAAACGCTGAATATTTTGGGTATTGATTTCGCGGAAACATCGTTTTACATCTTTCTTTCTTAATGGCAGTTGCTATCTTTTGTTTGTATAGCCATATTTTTCTTTTATTTCTTGTAAGAAAGGTACAAAAAATTTTAGATTAATATTTTATTTTCCTTCGTCTGTTAGGTTTTTATAACTCTTTAATCTCCCCACCTCTTTTACTTCCTCTTTATAATCTCCGCTTTCTCTCTCTTTAATCTCTTTCTCTCTGTAATCTGTCTCTCTTTCTCGCTCTCTTTCTCTCTTTAATCTCTCTCTCTCTCTCTCTTTCTATCTTTCTTTTCTGTTAAATTTCTCTGTACATCTCATTTACAGGCACACACACACAAGCACCACGCATGCGCGCTCACTGTCGCTTCATACTATATCCTTCTTGCCAAGAAGATTGAGATGGGAGATAACTCCTGAGTGATGGCCAGCGTAGATACAGCCCCACTGGCGGCGGGATATTATTTCTGCATGCTTGGCGCCTATCTTTGTTTTATACGCATTATACAAGCGCATGTTACTTTGCTTGTAATCAATTCATTTTCATGTCGTTTTTCACCTGATTTTTTTTCTTTTTGCTAAAAATGTACTTCAATTGTTTACACTGAAACATGTTAATAAATTACTGGGCTTTTTTTTAAACTTCCATTCATTTGCATCCGGATATTTTGCAGTTATTATTTTACTAAACCAGACTTACTAAACAGAACAGTCACTTTTCTGTAGTACGGGTCAACTGAAGTAGCTATTACCCAACGACGTAGTGACCAAAATATTTCAATTTGATTGTTTGACTAATGGAAGGATCCCATTATTTTTCTGTTAACGTTGATAAATGATTGTTGTACGTATGTCGCGACAAAGAAAACGGCCAATCTTAATTCGAAAAAGTATGAAATGATTTGTTTTTGCTTGTCAGTGACTAGTATTAGCTCTCTCTGGTGTTATCCTATACGGGTTTTTACAGGCAAAACTGAATACTACCCAAACATTTGGAGAATATGATCATGAAATAACATTACCCTTACACTTAGTTTCCACTACCAACTTCCAAGGTGCGGTGACAAATCCCGGAACTTTTGGATAGCACTTCGGATAGATAGATAGATAGATAGATAGATAGATAGATAGATAGATAGATAGGGGCGATGAAAAAACAAGGTTAGACAGAGAGAGAGAGACAGATGTAGGAAAAATTAAAAACTGGGATAGATAGATAGATAGATAGATAGATAGATAGATAGATAGATAGACAGACTGAACGCTTCGTCATAAAGTTCCGCAGCCTGAATTTAGGATGGTAAGAAATCGGAGAGCGGTGTTCAAATTCCAATTGGATCCATTACATTTACTTACGTGCTAATACCCTTGGAAAGGTATGAATTCTCTTCTTCTCATGCCCCCCCCCAAAAAAAAACTATGGGAAAATAGTAGGAATGGTTCCCCTTGAGTGGCAACCTGTCTAAGAGAAGGTAACTCTGAATTCAAAAACCGTCAGGTTATCTTACCCAAGAAATATCACTTCTACAGCGTGCTTTTTGGTATAAGGATGTCTTCAGTGGACTTTTCTTCAAAATGGGGAAGAAATTTTAGTGAAATTCGAAAGTGCTATTTGTTTGAGTCATAAGTAAATTATGTTTTGGGGAGCCAATAGTAATAACGAATCTATTATACTAATCGTTTGAAGAATATATTATGAAATATGATTTTTAAGAGAGAACATTCAATGTAAAAGGCATGAATTCACCTCTTCTCCCCCGGCTATGGGTTAATTAGTGAGTTTTGTATGATTAAACCACCATTATTTCCTAGCTTTAAATAGCCAACAAAGAGTTGGTAACCAGTAGAAAACGAATGAATCAAACAGAAGAACCTACTTATAAGAGTTTCTCGCAGGTGCATTGCATCAGTATAATAATTCTTTAAAGTGGACTTATAGTTTTACCGATCGATTATAAATTAAGTATCAAAGAAGGTAATTTAAGCCAAATAAACGACTATTTCAGAAATTCATAATTCTACCCCAACGGCTGCCTTTATATGAGATTCATGACAAGGACTTGGAGGTTAATGGTTAGAGATTTTGTCTCTTAGATGAATTAATAATTACAAATACATCCTAACTAGCTGTTTCTTAAAGATATCCTGATAGGGGACGAAAACATGGGTTAGATATGACAATATTCAACGCAGAAACTGTAGATAGACAAGGATAAAACTCCACAATGGACCCCCAAATGCATGGAAGAAATTCATATTGGGCGTGTAGTGGGATCGCAAAGGGATATTCTTTTAAGTTCTTAAAACGAATCAAAACACTGAATGCACATTTATACGTCTAACAGCTGCAATGAGACCTTTGTTGGTCTGTTCTAGCCAATCTGCCATATTCACCTGATTTTGTACCAAGTGATTATTATCTTTTTCGATCGCTGCAAAACGCTTTGACCTGGAAAACTTTCTCTAATAAATGCCAAATTCAAGAGTTCGTTGAAAAATTTATCGGGATTTTACTCAAAAGGTGTTGAAAAGCTGCCTGGTAAGCGACAACAAATCATTGCAAATAATGGCGTTATATTAACTGAATATTTTTTGTTGTTTTTGAAGACTAAAAGATTATAAACAAAAACGGAAAATATTTATGACTAATAATGGTAAGAGTAATGGTAATATTAGACGTTTCCCTATAAGAAAATATTTGGCATTCATTGAGCGAGCAGCCAGTATTGGTTTCGGGTGAAATTTATAAAATCTTCCTCTTAAAAATATTTTTAGTAAAACAGGTTTCTCAAGTCAAGTAGCTGTTATCGCTCTTTCCAGTATTGATGGGAGTTTCCTTCCAGACCTTCCATTTGAAGTGGGGTGGAATGTTAACTTCTTCTCTTCTTCTTACATATGCTATCCATTTTAGTTGTTGCTGCTGTTGGTAGTCCACAAGTGGTACGGTTTCTGTTATTTTGTCATAGTTCTTTGTTTGTGATTCTGTAGCACGATTCCACAATGTTCAAAGAAGGATGACCTTTGACAAGATCCTCAGACTTTACTCATTCAGTGAGTTTTTTCTTCATTGATCTTAGAAAGAGGTTGTATACAGCTGACAGTTTAGATATTTCTGACCGGGTTGGGCACCATGGATGACAGCCACATGAAAGTTTCGATCTCATGAAGTTATTTAAAAATATGACACGAGTTTTTTCAGGTTGACGTTTTGGTTTAGTACTTAATTCATCTACCAGACCATTACTGATTTTAATGTTAGCGATCCTTTGAAAAAAGACGCGATTGGTGGATGAAGTAGTTGCATAATTTTTTTCAATTTGCAGTTGTCATTGTACCTACTCAGGTAACAAATCAGGATTTCGTATTTAAGCATTTTCTCCCAATTGGAAGACTACTCAATACAGGAAGGGTAATTATTTTATAATCTTACTTATTATAAAACGCAGATTGTGTGTGTGTGTGTTGTCTGTTCGTTTATATATGGGATCGGATTTCCTACATTTTTCAACCGATTTCAACAAAACTTCACTTTTTTTTGGCAGGTAGTGATTCTTATTGTCTTGCACACTTTTTTCTTTATTTTTACATTCAGGATGCTTTAAAAATTCCATTTACAAGACAATTGTTTATAATAAAATTCTATTCAATCGGTAGACTCATAACGATTGAAAACAATGTTTTTGTCTGAGTTTGGGTTTGATCAATTCGTAAAAAAAAAAAAAAAAAAAAAAATTAAGACATGCGTGTCCGTCAACCTTAAACAATAATCTTTGTCAATTTTATTTTTCAGTCTTTATTATGGTCGATACTTGATCTATCTCTTACTGTTACATCCCCGGGCAACGCCGGGCTCTACTGCTAGTTGCTAATAAAATATACATTCATGTGTATTACTTTTTCATAATTATTATTATTGTTATATATGTCATTTTATTGTTGAGATAGACGTGACCGTATGTTCTTTTTTAATAGCTTCACCTCCTCGCCTATGGAACTCTGACCCGGGTTCTTTCATTCCCGTCAACTACGATCTTCTAAATTTGTGAAAATACAATAAAAATCGCCAAAGTATGCCTTTCCTTACTCCTATTCTTTTATTGTCCTTTCTCCTGACTAAAATCTTCTCGTTTTCCTACCATTCCTTGTGCCATAGTGGCATTTCTGCCTTGCTTGAGTTGAAATGATTTTTTTTTAAAAATTTTATACTATTTACATTGTTCGGACTATCATTCTCATCTTTGTTACCATATTTATCACAACGTTTCGGCCGTTGTACGCTCCGGCATTCTTCAGGTGGTTGGAATATCGAACAGAACCATTTATTTCGCTCGCTGGGGTAGTCTGTTCTAGTTCCACGTGCCATATCTAATGGATGTCAGTTATCAGTTATCTCCTGTTAATTCCCCTCTCCAAGTTCTCCACCGCCTTAACCAGGTATTGAACTCACGCTCTTTGGGTCCTGTCACTGGATCTAACTCACGCCTTTATCCACTGTGCCATGTGTTCTTGAGGACAACCACCTGAAGAAGGCCGGAGCGTACAACAGCCGAAACTTTGTGATAAATATGGCAACAAATATGAGGATAATAGTCCGAAAAATGTAAATAGTGTATATAATGCCTCATCTCAGAAATATAGACAGATAAAAAAGTTTATATCAATTCATTTTTCTTTATGTTCTTGTTGTGGTACGATCCACCTAATTTACATAGTGGAGTACCGACCATATAAATATGGGTTGGTACCGGGAAGACGAGGGGAGGAATCAAGAGATCCAATCCAGAGACTCTGCCCGACTGCGATTAAGTCAACCCATTCTACAGGAACGGTCTTCCCAAGAATATACCAAAACTAACTGTAAATATTGTGTACCTTTTCCTTGTTTCAATACATTTTGTTTACGTACATTTTGTGTTGTATTATTATTATTCCATGCTTATCCAAGCTTCAACAGTTCTCTTAGTGGATGGAATTATTACGTTTTTACTTTTGGCGCCATTAATTAGCTTAAAGAGTTGGGATTTCGATTGTTGAATTTCAAGGTCGATCGGTGGGTTTATTTTTCATCTTACTAGGCAGCATTTAATGTATTCATCTACGAGGTTGTATGAAAAGGTTCCCGGACTAGTTATGTCTAAAAAAAAAAAAATAATATATGTACCTAAGTTTTAACATCATCTCCTTCAAAATAGTCATTTTGCGCAGCGATACACCGGTTCCAGCGTTTCTGTTACTTTTGGTATACAGCTTGGAAGTCGTTCTCCGTAAGCGAGTCGAGGACCTTCAGCGATTCGCTTTGGATCTTGGCAACCGTGTTAAAACGGCGACCTTTTGAGATGCATTTTCGGAAGAGATGGAAGTCCGCAGGTGCTAAATCTGATGAATATGGCGAGTGCGGACGCGATACAATACTGTTTTTGGCAAGAAACACACGAGTAAGGAGAGCTTGGTGACAGGGTGCATATTGTCGTCGTGAAGAATTGAATTCTTCGCGCTAGTACAGATCTGATCGCTTTCGGCGAACGTCCTCTCCCTCAAACACCTCAAAACGTTGCAGTAGAACTCTCGATTAACAATTTGGCCTCTCGGGGACAAATTCACGATGCACAATACTGCGGATGTCGGAAAAAATGATGAGCACGACAACTTGCAAAGTGAACACAGCAATGTCACTCTGCACACTGGCGCATGAAGGTCACTGCTAGCTCTTACTACGCGCACAACTCTTGGTGCATTACAAAACTAGTCCGGAAACTTTTTGATGCTACCTCGTACTTGTCACATCTCGATTATATATCTACTCGAGTCTGTTCATAACTATTTAATTTCCTCGTTATTGTGCGCCTCTGCCAGTGACACATAAACATGGAAAATAAGAAAAAACGGTACCAGTTTACATTTAAAAAAAAAATTATCCATTGTCTAGACAAGACAATAGCAATGATTACCCATCCAGAAAAAAATGTAAAGTCCTAAGCAAAAGAACAAAATTCATTTCCAAAATTCTGACACGAAAACAAATTCCTACTATGCTACTACCACATTACGACTCAAAAGACTAGTCGACACATAGCCTAAATATAATAGACTCTATGTAATAAAATACCAAACTTCAGAAGAGAAAAAAGTATACAATAACTAAATAAAAATAATTAATAAATAAATTCTGGCGTACAAGGTGACTGGACGTATATGACGATCCCCAAATTTTCAAGTTAAAATGTAGATTTCGGGCTATATTCGCCGCACAAGACGACAATCGCT